TCAAGGTTTTCAGGTTAAACCAAAGACTGGTGTGCAACTTCTGTGTAAGTTGAACAAATTTATGGGCTCAAACAATTTGGGAGGAATATGATGCTCCATGAGTTCCTGATGATGAATGAGTTTTTACAGAGCCACGTTGATCATTGGACCTAGTAGTCAACAAGTTTAAAGTGGTGTATTGGTGTTAGCTAGTCATCTTTTAGCTAACATCACCTGCATCCAACAGCTTTACTCAACAGTCTGTTAGTTTGGGGGAAAAACTGAAAAGTTATTTGCGTTTTGCTGGTTTGCTGCCATGATTCTAACACACCTGTAGCTCCGCCCAGCAGCAGCAGGTCTCCTTCACTGCCGCACAGGTGTAAACCCAGCGCGAGCGTCTCAGCGTTCATGTTGCGTTTGAAGGCGGCTCGGGAAAACAGGTTACAACACGTTAACAACGGATTAAACTGTTTTAACTGCTGAAAAAACTGACAGAAGGCACAAATATTGGAAGTGCGGAAGCCTCTACTGTAACAAATTGATATAGGAATAACAAAGAGTTTGCCACTCTGAGGTAAAATCAACAAACAGCTTCCAGTCCAGGGGGGGCACGGCTGACTCTGTGGGAGGGCAATGTCTCCCAATGCCCGCCCATGCCGCCAGGCCTGCTTCACCTCATCAGTTCAGCGTTACACCGGCTGATGACGTTGCCCTTGTTCACTTGTCTGGTGTCTGATTTTAAAATATTTTATGTTTTATTGAGGATTTTTGTACATATGTTTTGGTAGTGCTGTGATCATGTCAAAGCAGCAACTTATGTTAAAACGTGTCTTAATGTTTGTCTGGATGCTGCACTCTTCCACAGAAGGACAACGGAATATCGCTCTGTGAGGGACTTACCCCCTCCCTAAAAGGTGCTGTTTTTTGTACTTTGTATATTCTAATTTATCTGGTAAATGTATTGTTTGTTTGACAGAAGTAACTTGCTGTATTTAATATTTTGTTGTAATCATTGTCTCTTTGCTTTGAGGTCACCTGGTCATGTGTTGCCATGGAAGCACGCCCATGAGCAGTGCTTCTTCTTCTTCTTCTTTTAGGTTTTTTTTGGCGGTTGGCAAACAACTTATAGGTGCATTACCGCCACCTTCCAGACTGGAGTATAGATTAGATGTCCTATCACTATAATCTTCCCATAAAACCTGATTTCCTAAGATAACTGAAAATGCTACTAAATATTACATCTTCAGAGGACCTTTGCAGCAGATTTTTAATATCTAAAATTACTTTATTTCTATTTAACTCTCTGACTAATATCTCTCTTTCCCGATTGTACTTATCACAATCTAGAAAAATATGCTGCACTGTTTCTGACTCTCCACAATAATTACACAACCCTGTACTATGTTTGTTAATTATTTTCAAAGTACTATTTAACCCTGTATGCCCAAACCTTAATCTGGATATAATATCCTCTTCTTTTCTATTCCTATTACCTTCCCTACATTCCCCTACTTTTCTTTGAATGCTATAATACAATCTTGCCTTTTCTTCTCTATCCCATAATTCCTGCCATTTATTTTTAATATTTATTTTACTTATACTTTTAACCTCATTTCTGCTAATTTGATATTTACCTCAACATTATCCCTTTTTGCTGCACTCTTAGCAAATTGATCCGCCAATTCATTTCCTACTATCCCAATATGGGCAGGAATCCAAATTAACTTAACCCTAGATCCATATTTTTTAATTTTAAAAATTGATTGATTAATATTCAATATTATATCTTGTCTCGATTCTTAATTTTGTTCTAAAATACTTATTAATGCACTGCTTGAATCTGAACAAATCAATATTTCCTTCTTTCTTGTTTCCTCACACCATTCTAGAGCCATTAATATAGCCACTAGCTCACCTGTATAAACTGTCATTCTATCTGTTATTCTTTTATTTTTCATAATGTTTAAGTCCGGAATTATAAACTCTATTCCAATTTTATCATTTAACATTTTAGAAGCATCTGTAAATATTTGTAAATATTCAGCATATTCTTTATTTATATACTTTTCCACCTCTTTTTTTCTATTTGTCTGCCTTTTTCCAGTAAGTTTAAATCAACTTCAGGTTTTCCACTAACCCAAGGTGGAGTATTTGGAATACTCATCACAGGACTAATTAAAAAATTATTTATTCCTAACTCACTTATCTCATTATTTATAATCCATCCAAAACTATTGATTCTCTTTTTTTATTTTTTCCTGACATGGTTGTAACATAACATTTGGAGGAAAGTTTTCCTTATGCCCTTTTACATTTGCCCAATAATTTATGGCTAGTT